GATTTGTGTGACTTAACCTCAGTAAAGCTATAAGTTCTTGTTCAATGCTCAATACCTGAAATATTTAATGAATGAAATTTGTGCGACTTAACCTCAGTAAAGCTATAAGTTCTTGTTCAATGCTCAATACCTGAAATATTTAATGAATGAGATTTGTGTGACTTAACCTCAGTAAAGCTATAAGTTCTTGTTCAATGCTCAATACCTGAAATATTTAATGAATGAGATTTGTGTGACTTAACCTCAGTAAAGCTATAAGTTCTTGTTCAATGCTCAATACCTGAAATATTTAATGAATGAGATTTGTGTGACTTAACCTCAGTAAAGCTATAAGTTCTTGTTCAATGCTCAATACCTGAAATATTTAATGAATGAGATTTGTGTGACTTAACCTCAGTAAAGCTATAAGTTCTTGTTCAATGCTCAATACCTGAAATATTTAATGAATGAGATTTGTGTGACTTAACCTCAGTAAAGCTATTAGTTCTTGTTCAATGCTCAATACCTGAAATATTTAATGAATGAGATTTGTGTGACTTAACCTCAGTAAAGCTATAAGTTCTTGTTCAATGCTCAATACCTGAAATATTTAATGAATGAGATTTGTGTGACTTAACCTCAGTAAAGCTATTAGTTCTTGTTCAATGCTCAATACCTGAAATATTTAATGAATGAGATTTGTGTGACTTAACCTCAGTACCTAAAATATTTAATGAATGAGATTTGTGTGACTTAACCTCAGTAAAGCTATAAGTTCTTGTTCAATGCTCAATACCTGAAATATTTAATGAATGAGATTTGTGTGACTTAACCTCAGTACCTAAAATATTTAATGAATGAGATTTGTGTGACTTAACCTCAGTAAAGCTATAAGTTCTTGTTCAATGCTCAATACCTGAAATATTTAATGAATGAGATTTGTGTGACTTAACCTCAGTAAAGCTATAAGTTCTTGTTCAATGCTCAATACCTGAAATATTTAATGAATGAGATTTGTGTGACTTAACCTCAGTAAAGCTATAAGTTCTTGTTCAATGCTCAATACCTGAAATATTTAATGAATGAGATTTGTGTGACTTAACCTCAGTAAAGCTATAAGTTCTTGTTCAATGCTCAATACCTGAAATATTTAATGAATGAGATTTGTGTGACTTAACCTCAGTAAAGCTATAAGTTCTTGTTCAATGCTCAATACCTGAAATATTTAATGAATGAAATTTGTGCGACTTAACCTCAGTAAAGCTATAAGTTCTTGTTCAATGCTCAATACCTGAAATATTTAATGAATGAGATTTGTGTGACTTAACCTTAGTAAAGCTATAAGTTCTTGTTCAATGCTCAATACCTGAAATATTTAATGAATGAGATTTGTGTGACTTAACCTCAGTAAAGCTATAAGTTCTTATTCAATGCTCAATACCTGAAATATTTAATGAATGAGATTTGTGTGACTTAACCTCAGTAAAGCTATAAGTTCTTGTTCAATGCTCAATACCTGAAATATTTAATGAATGAGATTTGTGTGACTTAACCTCAGTAAAGCTATAAGTTCTTGTTCAATGCTCAATACCTGAAATATTTAATGAATGAGATTTGTGTGACTTAACCTCAGTAAAGCTATAAGTTCTTGTTCAATGCTCAATACCTGAAATATTTAATGAATGAGATTTGTGTGACTTAACCTCAGTAAAGCTATAAGTTCTTGTTCAATGCTCAATACCTGAAATATTTAATGAATGAGATTTGTGTGACTTAACCTCAGTAAAGCTATAAGTTCTTGTTTAATGCTCAATACCTGAAATATTTAATGAATGAGATTTGTGTGACTTAACCTCAGTAAAGCTATAAGTTCTTGTTCAATGCTCAATACCTGAAATATTTAATGAATGAGATTTGTGTGACTTAACCTCAGTAAAGCTATAAGTTCTTGTTCAATGCTCAATACCTGAAATATTTAATGAATGAGATTTGTGTGACTTAACCTCAGTAAAGCTATAAGTTCTTGTTCAATGCTCAATACCTGAAATATTTAATGAATGAGATTTGTGTGACTTAACCTCAGTAAAGCTATAAGTTCTTGTTCAATGCTCAATACCTGAAATATTTAATGAATGAGATTTGTGTGACTTAACCTCAGTAAAGCTATAAGTTCTTGTTCAATGCTCAATACCTGAAATATTTAATGAATGAGATTTGTGTGACTTAACCTCAGTAAAGCTATAAGTTCTTGTTCAATGCTCAATACCTGAAATATTTAATGAATGAGATTTGTGTGACTTAACCTCAGTAAAGCTATAAGTTCTTGTTCAATGCTCAATACCTGAAATATTTAATGAATGAGATTTGTGTGACTTAACCTCAGTAAAGCTATAAGTTCTTGTTCAATGCTCAATACCTGAAATATTTAATGAATGAGATTTGTGTGACTTAACCTCAGTAAAGTTATAAGTTCTTGTTCAATGCTCAATACCTGAAATATTTAATGAATGAGATTTGTGTGACTTAACCTCAGTAAAGCTATAAGTTCTTGTTCAATGCTCAATACCTGAAATATTTAATGAATGAGATTTGTGTGACTTAACCTCAGTAAAGCTATAAGTTCTTGTTCAATGCTCAATACCTGAAATATTTAATGAATGAGATTTGTGTGACTTAACCTCAGTAAAGCTATAAGTTCTTGTTCAATGCTCAATACCTGAAATATTTAATGAATGAGATTTGTGTGACTTAACCTCAGTAAAGCTATTAGTTCTTGTTCAATGCTCAATACCTGAAATATTTAATGAATGAGATTTGTGTGACTTAACCTCAGTAAAGCTATAAGTTCTTGTTCAATGCTCAATACCTGAAATATTTAATGAATGAGATTTGTGTGACTTAACCTCAGTACCTAAAATATTTAATGAATGAGATTTGTGTGACTTAACCTCAGTAAAGCTATAAGTTCTTGTTCAATGCTCAATACCTGAAATATTTAATGAATGAGATTTGTGTGACTTAACCTCAGTAAAGTTATAAGTTCTTGTTCAATGCTCAATACCTGAAATATTTAATGAATGAGATTTGTGTGACTTAACCTCAGTAAAGCTATTAGTTCTTGTTCAATGCTCAATACCTGAAATATTTAATGAATGAGATTTGTGTGACTTAACCTCAGTAAAGCTATTAGTTCTTGTTCAATGCTCAATACCTGAAATATTTAATGAATGAGATTTGTGTGACTTAACCTCAGTAAAGCTATAAGTTCTTGTTCAATGCTCAATACCTGAAATATTTAATGAATGAGATTTGTGTGACTTAACCTCAGTAAAGCTATAAGTTCTTGTTCAATGCTCAATACCTGAAATATTTAATGAATGAGATTTGTGTGACTTAACCTCAGTAAAGCTATTAGTTCTTGTTCAATGCTCAATACCTGAAATATTTAATGAATGAGATTTGTGTGACTTAACCTCAGTAAAGCTATAAGTTCTTGTTCAATGCTCAATACCTGAAATATTTAATGAATGAGATTTGTGTGACTTAACCTCAGTACCTAAAATATTTAATGAATGAGATTTGTGTGACTTAACCTCAGTAAAGCTATAAGTTCTTGTTCAATGCTCAATACCTGAAATATTTAATGAATGAGATTTGTGTGACTTAACCTCAGTAAAGTTATAAGTTCTTGTTCAATGCTCAATACCTGAAATATTTAATGAATGAGATTTGTGTGACTTAACCTCAGTAAAGCTATTAGTTCTTGTTCAATGCTCAATACCTGAAATATTTAATGAATGAGATTTGTGTGACTTAACCTCAGTAAAGCTATTAGTTCTTGTTCAATGCTCAATACCTGAAATATTTAATGAATGAGATTTGTGTGACTTAACCTCAGTAAAGCTATAAGTTCTTGTTCAATGCTCAATACCTGAAATATTTAATGAATGAGATTTGTGTGACTTAACCTCAGTAAAGCTATAAGTTCTTGTTCAATGCTCAATACCTGAAATATTTAATGAATGAGATTTGTGTGACTTAACCTCAGTAAAGCTATTAGTTCTTGTTCAATGCTCAATACCTGAAATATTTAATGAATGAGATTTGTGTGACTTAACCTCAGTAAAGCTATAAGTTCTTGTTCAATGCTCAATACCTGAAATATTTAATGAATGAGATTTGTGTGACTTAACCTCAGTACCTAAAATATTTAATGAATGAGATTTGTGTGACTTAACCTCAGTAAAGCTATAAGTTCTTGTTCAATGCTCAATACCTGAAATATTTAATGAATGAGATTTGTGTGACTTAACCTCAGTAAAGTTATAAGTTCTTGTTCAATGCTCAATACCTGAAATATTTAATGAATGAGATTTGTGTGACTTAACCTCAGTAAAGCTATTAGTTCTTGTTCAATGCTCAATACCTGAAATATTTAATGAATGAGATTTGTGTGACTTAACCTCAGTAAAGCTATTAGTTCTTGTTCAATGCTCAATACCTGAAATATTTAATGAATGAGATTTGTGTGACTTAACCTCAGTACCTAAAATATTTAATGAATGAGATTTGTGTGACTTAACCTCAGTAAAGCTATAAGTTCTTGTTCAATGCTCAATACCTAAAATATTTAAGGAAAGCAGTAGGTAATGATTAAACTTTTATAATGATTAATTAGGCTTTTGATGTATTTTATATATAATTGAAAAGAAAATGTTTCTTAAATCAGTAATCAAAAAGTATTAAAAAAAATTAATTTAAAAAAGAATAGCTTTTGTCAACCTTGTTTTCTAACCTTTTTAAAAACAATCACTCACATTGAAAATAATGTGCCGAAACAATGACTGCAACAATAAAACAAATACTCTATCCCAGATTCCACCTTAAAATTAGCAGCACATAAGCTCATGTGTATTACAGACCTATCTATCTTTGCTTGTGTGTAACAGGAGTTATCTATCTTTGCTTTGTGTAACAGGAGTCATCTATCTTTGCTTGTGTGTAACGAGAGAGTTATCTACCTGCTTAAGGTGTGAGGCCCCCTCCGAGTCCTCCTCTTTATCTACACTACTAGCTTTCTTGGTGAAGTGCCTCCACTTCAGAGTCCATTCCCCAACAGCCACTAGCTCACCACTGGCCATATCCATCCCAGCATACATTGTACTTCCACTGCTGCTGTGACCTGTATCACACACAATGCCGCATCAAGTTTCAAGTTAAGAAAACAAAAATGGCACAGTCATACAATTAAGTTTTTTTTAAGAAATTTAAAAAAATATTTAAACTAAATCTCATTCCTACTGTGACCCATAACATACAGACATCTCACTTCAACTGTGACTAATAATACACAGTCCACCTCAGTTGAATATTCACAATATTTGTTTCATTAGCTAATTCCAACTTTTAAAATACCTAAACATCTTCCTCTGTTTATGACTCTGTCCATTCTGTTATTGGTGAATGTCAACACAGACACACCCATTGCATGATCTTTACATGATGGGCTTGTGCCAGAATCATCATCCTCATTTCTTTTTGTGCTTGTTTTACTGCGGATCAAATTGTTCATAATATTTTAAAATAAAAATATGCCAACTTTAAAAAAAAAATTGTGTTAAGTGTCAAAACTAAATAGTATGACGTACATTTTAGACCATGATTTTAATTTTCAAATCCTGTTTGTGGAGACATATGTATTTTAAAAATAAAATAGAATGAGTATTTTAAAAGAGTAATTAAAAAAAGGGTAGCACTAATACCATTTAATGCTAAAGAAATAAAATATAAACAACCACTGAAGCCAAATTACTGAACCGATAAAATATTTATGAAGAGCCTATTAAACCGTATACGTTTAACTCTAGGATGTTATATTGTAGAAAACAGAAAATCTACAAGATGCAAATTCGACTGTGGCCCCCAGAACACACCCGCACACCCCAGAGAGAAAAATTACACATGGACATTGAAGACCACTGTGCAATGTCAGACTGTTGCATGACCCTTCAGTGTTCACATATTAAGAAAACTATGTAGTAAAGATAATCTTGGTAGATTTTAAAAACATGCAAGTAAGTAACGCTGTGATGCTTTTAAAAACAAAAGCACAAATTGTGCGTACCGTCTCCTCTGTGCAACTGGAATGGGTGCAGACATGACATGAGGTCCTGGTTTATTTTGAGCAACAGGTGACACTGATCTGGGATGGGGAGATGGTGGAGATGCAGACAACATGACAACCGGCTTAGGAGAACCCAGGTGTAAATTTATTGCTTCAGCCTGGACAAGGATCAAAAACTTAATTAACGTAAACAATAAAATGTAAAGTGTATATAGCTTAGCGCAATAAACTAGTCTTAAAGTTTGAATTAGTAATCTTGAAATGGCAAATATTTATTAGTCTAAACACTACACTGACTATGTATGAAATGTTAGACAATTACTACATTTCTTTTCTAAACAAGAACTACATAAGAACTAACATTTTTATGATCTTCTTTTCTTCTCCTGGTCTCATTTTTAAAAAACTCTTGTCTTTTCAGGATCTCCTGTTCCATTTCTAGCCTCTGGATTAGAATTAAAAATAGTAAAATTATAATGACATCTAAAAATATATACTAAAATTAATGTCATACACAACTGTATGTTTGTCAACTTTCAATCTAACTGATGATGATCAATACACTGATGTTTGTGATGCTAAGTAAATAGTAAAATGTATTAAACCAATTCACAAACTTTATAAATCTGGAAACAAGAGCACAACAATCTGTATAATAAAAAAAACCCACACAACCACTGTGGTAAAAACCTAAATTTAAACTTAAATAAAATCAGAATTCAGTTTAAGCATTGAAAATAGAACAGAAATTTCAAATTGAACTTGTGTTTATAAAAAGTTGATTAAACCAAGAGAAAGAACTATTTCTAGAATTAAAGAAAATTAATATTTCTTTCACTAATTCCTAATTATAACAATCATACCAAGTCTCGAGTTCAAACCCCCTGGCAGATAAGGCTCGATCCCTTCCAACACTAAAAATTAAGAATGAAGAAGAAGAAAGACAATCATACCTTTTGTTCTTCTTTGAGCCTCTCCAATTCCTTATTTCTTTCCTCCTGCTGCCTGTTATTGCTGATCATCTGATCATAGAAAGACTGTGACGGGGGTTTGTTGTGCTCATGAAGGAAGACTTCCACAGAATTGGCCAGCTGCCAGATCATCACCTACAAAATACAGCCTAGCATTACATTTTGTTTTTTTTCAAATGTGTTATAAATCATGCTAAATACTATAATTATTATACTGACTGTCCTTAATCCATTGAAAATTAAACTTTATAGTGTGGTTTTACTGTGAAGTGCAGTATTATTAGCCATAAGGTTCTAAGTATAAATAATGCAAAAATCCCACCTAACTCGTAAGGAGTATCTCAACAGATTGGTAAGTCATGGTGAGAGGACAAAAAAAGAACTTATTTTTATCTATGAACAGACTACAAACCATTCAGCTCTCAAAATTACCAAATAAAAATATATTTTTTTAAATGCATAGAAATGTTATGCTTTAAGTACCACATTTAATACTTTTCAGATTGGGAATTTGACTTTGCTGTGCAAAATAATTCCAGAGTTCTTAAAGCATCAGTTGGTTCTAAAATTAGTTATTACTTTTTCATACTGATCTATTGCAGCCATCCCTTAATAGAAAGGCATTCTTTTGTTTAATACATATGTAATTTTAGTAAGCTTTCTCTGTGTTCCCTACCAGCAGTAGAAAAAATAGAACTACCTCTCCAACTAGTTGTGAAGCCTCTTTTTCCAGTCTCGTTTTAAGTTCAGCAACCAACTGATTAGAAAGTCCTTTTGAGTTTGTGAGGAGAATCTCAGGTGCCCTGAAATTATTTGAATATTAAAATATATTTTACAACTTGCTTCATTGCATACTATCTTTTGACCTAATCACTAAAATACCTCATAACAATATGTTAGACGCTCATTTATGTGTGAAGTTAATGGCTGAAATATGGTGGTTGCAATTTTTCTTAAGAAAAGACAATAACATGTGACACCAGGTTAAAATAGATAATTTTCTAAGAATTTGTCTGTTAAAAAATACATACACATCAGGGTATGACGGCGAACATTTAACAGTCATATCAATTTGTGTGTATATGGGATTTCCTCCACCCATGCTCTGCTGAGGCTTCAAAGTCAGTTTCAGCTCAAGTGGCCTAGCAACCTTAACAGAGATAAGAACATAATATTTTCGTGAGATAAGAACAATGAACATAAAAATATTTTACCAATAATATAAAACACACCTAAACTGAATATTATGTATAATTGTAGAACAAATGTTTTTAATCCATGCTCATCAAAATATATTTTTTTTAGCAAAGTTACTATTTATTCTAGTATTTACAAAACATGTAAAGTCTTGCTTATTACAAGACACATGTTAAAGTTTAATTATAAATTAAGGTAGGATGAAATAATCTTTAAAATGGCAACCTTTTTTTTTCATTTCCTGATATGCAAAACTGGAAAACAATTTACCTTCCAGGCAGATTTTTTTCTCAAGTCTTCAAGAGCCTCAGCATAGATAGATTCTAAAACCTGGAATTCTTCATCTTGTCTCTCCTGATGGGAACAGTCAGCCTCTGTCTTTTTTTTCGGAATTCCAGCCATTGGTTACTGACTAAAAGGCTTTATTTTTTTAACATCCAACCACTGATTTGAAGAACATTTTAAATAATGATTATTACGAAGCAAAGCTTGAAACTAGGCTATAAAATTTAAAAAATTCATAATAGTAGGCCTAAGATATGGGATAATAATCTACATACTGAATTCAACAGTCAGTATTGATTGAACATGAGGAACCTGATAAAGGTTATGTGTTGTGAGTCACATTGTTATTACATTCATGTTCCTGACTTCAACCAGTCAATGGCCAACCTGGACAAAATAAAATTTTAATTTGTTAAACTTGAATACATTGATTGAATGAGCTATGAGTATGATGGTCTCATAAGTAACCAAACATTAATTTTATTCTATAGGTAGGCCCTATAGGCTATTTAATACAATTAAATAAATAAAACATAATAAATTAGGCTAATTTACTAATTAATAAGTATTAAATTAATATTAAGAAAAAAAGTATTAAGTAGAGGTGTGTATTAATTAATAATTACTATATTAATTAATCCATGTCAACAATAATGAATATAGATCTAGTACTTTTAGTAGGCCCTATACTCTATACGGAGTATACGGCATACGGCCTCTAACTCTATCTAAACTATCTATAGTTATAGACTTTTAGTTTAAATGGGCCTAGGCCTATCTATATTCAATAAATATTAAATAAGTAGGGCCTAATATAATACTGTATTAGTAATAGTACCCTATAGCACAATAGTACAATAGTTATTTATTAAGTAATCAGTACACTACTAAACTAATCAAGAATAGCCTGTAAGTAACAGTAAGTACTAAGTTGGCCGATAAAATTATCAATATTTTATATTAGGCTAATTATTAATTAATAAATTATTAGGCCTATTAGAAACATTTTTGTTTTGAAGAATGAAATTCTAACTCATCATTACTGATCTAGATCTAATTGATGTAAGATGGTAAACTGCAGCTTGTTAGAATCATAGAATGCTCGAGTAATGTTTGTTATGCTATGCAGCAGACGCATCTGATCTGAAGAAATCTTCAAATCTGAAGTCATCTGGAACTCTAAGCAAGAAGGCTTGGTGATATTTAATTTGTTTACTATAGAAATGTGTTGGCCTAGTAATTATAATTAGGCCTAATTTATTAATTTAATCAAGACTTACGCCTATACATTACTTTCAGCTTATGAATCGGTAAAGTAAATAAATAGTCTGTCTAGTGCAGTGACATGTCATCAATGAAAAGGTACGTGGTGAAATGTTTGTAAACACTCCAGTAGACTGCAACTTTAAAAAGTACAATTTAAATACCGAATGAAGACAAAAAATTCCTGTTCGTATTTGATATATTATATTATTATGGATGTCGGATGCCTTCAAAATTATTTTTTAAAGTCCGATTTTTATTCCCCCCCCCCCCTATAACGCCTTTGTAATTTCTTCAAAACAATTCAATGAAAAGGCGTTAGGTATTAATCGAAATAAATTTTTAAAACATTTGTAGGTAGACCTGTGGGCCAGTGTTTCTTCCAGACTTTTTTCTCCGGGGGGGGGGGGGGGGGGGGGGGCACTTGAAATCTTCGGGGGGCGGTAAACTTTCTTCGGGGGGGGGGGGGGGGGGGCGGACACTGTTAAAAGTATATATTTTCTATATAAATTATATAAATTTCATTTCGTTCGGGGGGGCGAAGAGATGCCTGGAAGAAACTCTGCTGTGGGCAGTAAAAGTTACATGTGAAATTTATTTAAAAAAAAAACAACGTCTGGACAACCTAAATATTTATAATATAATAAGTCCTACAATTAAGTTTCATGAAATGCTTTAATACTCTCTCTTTGTATTATTAGACATGGATTAAAAAATTACGTTAATAGGCCTAATAAATAGTTAATAGTATTAGTAATTGCTACTAAGCTTGCAGGTAATTTGATACAGTATAATGGAACAGAGTCAAATAAACTGCCGAGTGTTAATAAGTCGGTTGGCGAGGGAAGATAGTTCGGCTTCAGCAATGTTCCCCTAATTGTATGGCCCTAAGATGTTTTTATGGCTTAAGCATGACATTAATTAGCCTCAGAGTTTCTTCCAGACATCTTTTCAGGGGTGGGCTCCGCCCCCCCCCCCCCCCCCAAGAAGAAAATCTACCGCCCCTCGTCGAAATGGAATTTATGTAGAAAATATAAACTTTTAACAGTGTCCGCCACCCCCCTGGATAGCTTTCAGCCAGAGTTTCTTCTAGGCATCTCTTCGGGGGGGGGGGGGGGCGAAGCCCCTCCCGAAATTTTTTTTACCGCCCCCCCCCCCCCCCGAGCGAAATGAAATGTATATAATTTATATAGAAAATATATACTTTTAACAGTGTCCCCCCCCCCCGAAGAAAGTCTACCGCCTCCCACCCCCCCCCCCCGAAAATTTCACGTGCCCTCCCCCGGAGAAAAAAGTCTGGAAGAAACACTGCTTTCAGCCAATTTAAAATATGTAGGCGTGTAGTGTCATAGCACTATAGTTTTTGACTATTAGGTCTACTTATACATCACATAATTGTTCATTGCCAGTAGTATCCACATATTCTGTATAATCATCATCGCCATGAAGTAGAGTTAGGCTAATCTGTTTCAATTACCTCGGCATATGGCGCGATATTGTGGTTAGCACTATGCCCAGCCGCATGGGTTTCCCTATCTATAGTGAGTCCAGTGTTTATTTCAGACATTTTTCTACTGGTGCGGGGGGGGGGTAAATTTCCAGAGGGGGAAAAGTATACATTAACTAAATACATTCTATGGGCTTGAAAGAAACACTGCGTGAGTCAGGTGCTCATCACAGTTGGGTGGACTCAGGGCCGTTGGACTCGAACCCGGAACCGCCCTCGCTAGGGACTATAATTTAATATACAACAACTGGAACCTGAAAAAAATATACACGAAAAAACAAAAAAACCCAAAAAAAAAAACAACAAACAAACAAATAAGCCTAGAATCTGTAGGCTAAATCACTGTTATACTGTAAGAGTCTAGCTAGATCTACTATCTTCTGTATCTTCGGTTATTTAGTATACTCTCTTTAGTGGAAGTTCAGTTATCTTGAGTTGCTAATCAGATAGTGTCATCGTAGTGTTTAGGTGTAGGAGACCTGTACATTTATTTTGTTAATGCTTTTCTCACACAAACAATGCAAGTCTAACTTTAGAAACACATTTTGTCCAAAATATGCACTAGTTATATGTAAAAATATGGTCTAATAATATATTCTAGTATTAACATTTGATTGGAATTGAATAAAAAGTTAAAAAGACCATCCTTTTTTCATTTGTTTTGTAATTTTTTAGGTGGGGCGGTTCGGAAGAAATAAAATATCTTTAAGACTAGGCAACATTAGGAAAAATGAGTTTCAGTAACTTAGTGTATGGAAGCATGCTAGCATGCATGTTATTCCTCACCAGCACAATGGGGACCATAGTAATGGTTACCCCAACATTGCCAGTTATCTTCCTGAGTCCTAAGCTTAGTCGAAGAATGATGGATTCCCTTATCAAGCTCTGGTTTCTTTTAGCAGTGGTAGGTCACTAGATCTAATTTATTTATTAGTAGTAGCTTAGAATATGGTAAAGATACTTTCCTAAGTAGGCGGCTTATGTGTGGCATAAAGCTGAAAATCAATCGATTCCGCTCCGCTACCACTATACAATACTATAATTATTACTATAATTATTAATTAGGCCTACTCTTGATGTAAATTTAAAGGGTGGTTTTCATCAGTAACAAGTTGTCTAAGTATCAATTTATTATAATATTATAATTAAGTAGGCTAGTCAAATAGTAATATTTTACTTGCTTAAAAATATAGGAATATCCTAATAAAAAACGACAATTACAATTAGGCTATTGGCATTAAATATTATTGTTACAAAAGACCAGTCTGCTTTGTTGATATTTCGAGTCACCCCTTTGTATCCTTAACAGAATGAGCCCGCCCCCTATGAACAATCTTATTTAAATAGTTAAAATAGGTCAAGCCACATATCAAGCATGTATAATGTCATGTGTTGTGCCTTAAAAAAATAAACTCCCAGCATTTTCAGAATTGCTGTACAAAATTTCAAGATATTGTACCTTGTTCCACTTGCCTCACAAATTTTTCAGCAAAATAAAAAGTCAGTAAAAGTTTTTATATACAAAGGAAAAAAAAGCCAATATTATTTTAATTTCCAACAGCTGTATGTTTCTGTTTCCTTATTCATTTATTATTATGGTTTACAAATACAGATATATCCTGATGCAGAGATAAGGGACTGTAAGCTTTCAACTTAAAAAAAAAACGAATACTAGGCCTATACAACAATAATTTAAATAGGAATATTTTAAGAAATTTTCATTTATAAAATTGGGAATGATTAGTGAATCAGTTATAGTATTTGTACAGTAATGTGTATCAAATAAAAATGAAATACGAAGGAAAGTACCACATTCTTTCTAACAAGTCAGTAATATGTCAAGCTAGTAAAGCAAGCTGAATTATTTTTAAGAAGTCCAAGATTTTTTAAAGTTTAATATTCTTCACACTTGCATAAAATATTGGCATTATCAAATTTCAGAAAAAGTATTGCCAACAAAGATTGACACAATTAAAATTTTAGTTCTTGATAGCTCATTATTGAGCTAGGATTGTATAATATCTTTATTAGTGATACTTAAACCCAAAGCTAACTTATAGTGCTTACTTACAAAGCTATACCAGCAATAAAAATATGTGGGTATGACTAATCTTTGAAAACCCAAATTCTATTTTTAAAAATATTAAAAATTAATTCTATTTATAAAAATGTACATAAAAGCTTTTTTTTTTAAACTTCCAGGCGATGTATGAAATTTTAATGGGAGTGAAGATTAAAATCAAAGGCAACCCTTCTCTTCTTGGCACTAGCTCTCTCATACTATCCAACCATCGCACTCGCCTAGACTGGCTCTTCCTCATGTCCTACCTGTGTCGGTACAGTGCAATAGATGAGTACAGAATCTCACTGAAAGCTTCCCTGAAAAAATTCCCCGGTGCTGGTAAGTGATTGTGTAATTACAACTATTTGCAATTAATTATATAGTTTGTCTTTTCTACATGTTGAGCATTGGTTGTTTTGATAATTGTATTCATTTTGTATTGGTAATAGAACAGATAGTGGTAGTTATCTCACAAGTTAAAGACAGTTACAAATACTATAAACGTTTCTGTTTTATTACTAATTGAATTAACCTCACTGCAGCTACCATTTGTAATAATTTTGTAGATATGTAAATTCTTGGTCTTAAAGTTAAAATCAGAAATTTTTTGTTGGTGTTTTTAAAAGGATGGGCTATGCAGTGTGCAGGGTTCTTATTTTTAAACAGAAAATGGGATGAAGATAAAGATCATATATCGAATGGCATCCATTACTTCTCACAAGTTCACTCTAAACCACAGGTAAAGATTGGGCAAGATTCTACTTAAATCAACTCCCTAACTGTATGCTAGAAAGCTTGTAAAGTAAATACTTTATTGCTGCCTCGTTTAACCTCTGCCTTTAAGATAACTAACAATCATGTAGTGAACATACAGTTGTCATCAGAGCTCTGTTTAAAGTCTACACCTTAATGTTTTCAGTTCCTGCTGTTTCCTGAGGGCACAGACATGTGTCCCAATGCTATAGGTAGAAGCAATAAGTTTGCAGACAAGGAGGGGCTCCCTCGTTATGAATATGTGCTGCACCCAAGGGTGACTGGTTTTATACATTTTGTCAAAGAAATGAAGAAAGGTTTGTAGTTTTCTTCTACATTAACCTTCTTTCAAATTATGTTGTTTTCTTAGATATTCACTATCATATCAACTCTTTCAGACTGACAACATTTCCAAGTTTTTCTATTTAATTCATTGTTTTTCAAAATCCAAGTTTTTAACTGTAAATCTATGTCATGATATCACTAGAGCAGCCATTTTCATTGTGTTTACTTCTTGTAGTTTTCTTGTTCGGTTGATTTTGTATTTTATAAAAATTGTTTTTGTAAAACCAATCGCAAAACAGCATTTTTTTTACACTGTTTGGAATGCTGTTCAGTGGGCATTCATTTACGATTAATTTATATCAGTAGTGTATGGGTTTTCAATAAATGGGTAAAAAGATTTGAGATGCTTTGCCACAAGAGTACTGAAAAAAATTAAGTGAAAAAAAATTCTGGTAAAACGTGAAAATAATCAGAAGAAAATTTATGATTAATATATTTATTTGTCTTTTATTTAGAAAAATATTTGCTACACACTACCACGTTTAGCCATTACATAACTAAATAGGTTCATTTTAAATATTTTCTTTACTCTTCAACTACTCTTTTGTTAATTTCAACAATGGCGAAAACTATTAAACATTGCATTACAGAGGTACCAAATGACACAAATCATGCAAGTAAAGTAGTAAAGTTTCCCTTTCAAACCTGACGGTCTATGGGGCAAGTGAAGTAGAGTTCACTTGTTTCTGTGACCTCGGCATATGAAGAGATAGTGTGGTCAGCACTATGCCCAGCCGCCTTTACGTTCCCTAACGTAAGTTAGGTACCCATCAGAGTTGGGTGGACTCAGGGACGGTCTACTGATTTGAACCCGGATTCGAAATCGAGACTTACGGGTTAGCAGTCCAGCTCTCTACCACTAGACCACTCCGTCCCCAAATCATGTTAGAGCTTCTTATACTTTAGTCGCATGTGACATGCTTTAATCTTAGATTCATATTTTATTCATCTTTCGTTTCTGCAGGTAAAATTCTAGACTCCATTTTAGATGTAACTGTTGCATACCCTAAAAACATCATCCAAAGTGAATTACAGACCCTTAAAGGTGAATTCCCTGAAGAGATTCATTTCTATGTCAAGGATTATCCTATTGAGACCATCCCTGACACAGACGAGGAACTCTCCACATGGTTAATCAATCTTTGGAAGGAGAAGGAGGTCAGGCTGAGGAACTTTTACCAGGTGAAGAAGTTTGAGACCGGGGAGGATAACCTTGCGCTGGACGATGACACGGTCCAGTACGCTGATTTTGCGCTGAAGAAACGTCTGAATTGTGTAGTTCTGTTTTGGGTTGTGTTCTTGTTTGTTGTGTTTACGTGCATGTGTGTTTACCCCCTGTTTCTTTATTTCTGTTTAATCAGCTGTGTGACGTATGTGTTGATAGGGATACGCCACGGGGGTGTAGACAACGTAATTTATAATGCTGTACGACTTTAGGCACTTACATAAATATGCTTTTTTATCATTCATTGTATACCTAGTCTCTAAAGTATAACTTATTTTTTAAACCTTAGATATCCATTTCAGAATGGGATAGGCCTGAGGAAACACTACCCATAATAAGTTTGTGTATGCAAATTATCAAATAAATAGTTGACAATCTGTCAGCATTATTTTTAAACAAAGTACTGTTTTATTTCACTGCTGAGTATACACATTTATTTTCACATCTGATCTAAGAAAACATTTAATAGATCACAAAAATAATAAATAGAGACTCATAAAAAAAAACCTGCATTATAACTGTGTAGTAAAAATAAAAGTGTGAAATTTTAAATTATCTATTTATCACAATTTCTTTTCATATATTAAGGACACTTGGTAATATTTAAAGTGGGTTAATTAAAGCTTGAGGCATAGCCAACATACACATTTTGAGGCATTTTATAAAATAAAGTTTATTGTCATAAAGACATTTTTATATGTTTACCAAAAACCAGCATTTGCAGCGCTGCTCGCAAAGTTATAATTTCATGTATACGTTTTTGTTTGTTGAAAAATAATAGAATTTTTTTTAAACAACTGAAGCATTATTCTTTTCAATGTTTATTTTAAATTAGTGATAAAAGAACTAAAAACAAATTTTTTATTTTCAATATATTTTCAAATGGCCAATCATACTCAAGATATTAATTAATACTTGTGTTATTTATTTATATGGTAAACTGGATATGCTGGCATTAATTTTTGTTTGTTTGTCTATTCAAAAAGCACACTTGTTTCATATATTCCCACATTTTTAAAATATCGCCTGTTTTGAACTGTGGTGTTTTTAAATAAAAATAGTTTTTGCTCATTTTGCTGAATAGTTTTGGATAGAAACACAATCTGTCTCCATTGAATAAAATAATTTTTAAAAAACAACCTGTTTGTTAACTTGAGATAATTAATGAATTAAATAAGTTTTCACTTTCTTTTGGGATTTCAAAATGTTTTTTGAAATGATTTTTATATTGGCAAGTAGCACTGTCCAATATGTCGTTTTAATTTAAGAAGTTTAAAATCTTCACCGTTAAAGCCAATATGACATCTCATATGCCGTAATACTCTGAATGATCTCTTTGGATGGCTTCATCGCAAGCGTTGTCTTCTCCAAATATATTCTGATTGTCAGTGTTTTAAATAAAACCAAATAGATCCACTTGTTCCTTATGTAAAAGCAATTTTAAAGGATATTACTAAGAAGTTTAAGAAAGATTGATAGTTAGTAAAGAAATGCCTGCTTATAATAATTCACTTCATTTGAAATTAGTTCTATATTATAAAATCCACTACTGTTGCAATACTGTTTTTGTTTTTTGTTTTTTGATTTAATTTTGTTTTTTAATTTAATTTTGTTTTTAGGTATTTAAAATTTATTCTTATATAACTATACTCAGACTTGAATAAATTAATGTTGTCATGGTAACATTCCATTTGTCAGACACATTTCTTTAACTAAGATTTACACACACATAATCTTTACTTTTATTGGTAGACAGTAGTTATTTTTTTTTTTTTACTGCTGTTTGAGATTGTAACTGGGCATTGAAATAACTATGGATGTCTATACAATACAATATTTGTTCTTTATTTTATTTGACCATCAGTAAATGAGCTTGTGGTAAAATTGATGTTTATCAATCAACTATTAAATGGATCATACATCAGATTAAATTGATGTTTATCAATAAACTACTCAATAGATCATACATAGGATAAAATTGATGTTTATCAATAAACTATTAAGTAACATGTTTTTGATCAACTCAGTGGTTCATTGAATAAAATTAATATGTTTTCAATCTACTGTTCAGTGGTAATGGGGTTAAAATGTTCTGATTTGTATGGTTTATCACAATAAATTTCTATTTTTCATTCAGCTACTAATCAGAATTTTAACTAGCTGTGAACTAATGCCATCCTAAATGATAGGCGTCTGTTCTTTCCGTAGTTCTGTGGAAATATAAAACCTTTTGTTATTCTGTTCAGATTTTAAAAAAAATCACCTTGTTATTTCAAAACAGTTCAGATAACTTAAGATCACATATTAATTAAATAAAAATATGTTTGTCAATTTTTGCCACATATTGTCATGTTCAAAGCAATTATTTGTTTTTTTTTGCACCTCTTTTATTTTGCTCTTTAAATTATTGAACCTCTCCCCACCCTAATTTGTTTTTAAAAATGTTTTTATCTCTGTATATTATGTTTAATAGCATTATAATTGACCATTTAGATAAAACAATCTAAGAATTATTCTGACAAGTATTATTTACATTAGTTGCTACCTTTGAACCCAAAGATTGTCTTGTATGTATCCAGTGTTCCTATTGTTAAAGTTTGCTAAATACAGACAACTCAATGAACTGCTTTCTTCCTTTTTAAATCTTTAGCCAGCATTGTTGTTGTTTTTTTTTTTTTAAAAACAAAATCTCTCATTTCTCAAAATTTATTTTAAATCTTGGACTTCTTGACATGGTTACAGAGATTGATAAAATTTGTTTTTTTTTTTTTAAATATTTATTTATATTTCTGCATGAGTGAGACTGTGATGAATATTTTGGTATTTAATATTTGGCAGGATAAATTGATGTTTTTTTAAAATTATAGTATTGCTTTCCCAATCCTAACCATGGCTCTGGTCCCAGCCCACACTATCATTCTAACCATAACCCTGACCACAGTCCTGGTCTAACAACAAACCTAACCTTAGCCCATACCATCATTCTAACCATAACCCTAACCATAATCATTCCTCAGACCATATACCTAACCTTTACCCTACTCCTTGTCTTAGCTCTAATCCTGACCCTAGACAAAATCCTAACCATAGCCCTGACCCTACCAGACTCTAACCCTAATCCTGACCCTAAAATCAATATAAAATATGAATACCACACTACATTGTCATACCACTGCTTTTTTATAAAAAGATTGTGTTTTTTAAACCATCAGTTTTATAGTGTGATGAAGTGTGTCTATATTAAACTATAAACTAGTGTGAACCATCTAGACCAGTGTGACTCTTAACAGCTGTTTCAGTGTAGTAACTTTATATGTGTGATATAAATATCATTTTATAGTATTATTGTAAGTATGAGTTGAGTACTTTTAATGCAGGATCATATGTGATGTTTTTTTTTTTTTTATCTCAGCCCTTCATGTTACATTGTAGGTTCTTAGTGTTCAAAATCTCTATATTAGGCTAGGGTGGAATAGTATTTAAGTAAACAATTATTTCATTTCTGTTTTAAGTAATATATATAATCAATACAATTTTGTTTTCATTTAAAAAAAAAAAATTACATGGTATAATTTTAGTTGATAGTTTTGGTTGATAAGCCATTCCTGGTATTGATATCGCTAGTATTAGGTGATGATGTTACTATATGCCCAAATAAAACCTTAACCAATGCCTTGATTCTATAAACCTAAATTTCAGCTGGTCATATGTTGCTAAGGTTAAAATAATAACCTAAAAGTTAATTATTCTAATTTTCTCATGTGGATGTATTCAAATTTGTACTGTCAATGTTTTAAAAGCTACCAGTTCAGTAATAAACTCATACTAGTGTTTACAACATAAATTAAAGCAAATTTTGTCATGGTGACTGGTCTTAATTATAATTAATTAATCATGATCTGTATGTTTGCTAATTTATGTCACATGTCTTTAAGAATCACCGTTTTCAAAATGAGTTAAGAAAATTTGATTCAAATAAAAATCATTTATTCAAACATTCTCTGTGTGTGTATAAAGCATATCTGGTGTGTAGTTATTAGCATGTGAAAGTAGCAATAACTCAAAAAACATAATTGGAAATGTTATTATTTTGTTGACTAAACAATGTGGATACAAAAAGTTTATAAGAAATGTAAAGCACCCTCACTCAGAAATATGACGTGCATGGAATTAAAATATAATCTTAGATATTGTTTTATCTTCGCATCAACATTCAATTAATTGGCAGATGAATGATCAATGAAGGGAAGTAACTAAAGCCATTTGTTCAGATAAATAAATGCATTGCCTCCCTTACACCGATTTATATATATTTTTTAAGCGAAATTTTAAGAAAATGTGCACACAACTTTGATTCCTAAAGTCTTCTTTTCGTCACGGAATACAGGCATGCAAAAAATAAACCGCTGAGATTAAAATGTAGCTAATTTTAAAGAGACTAATATCTGGTATCATGTTTCACACGTCTAACTTGTGACTTTTTAGATAAAGACTGTTGTGTGTACCACACCAGTAATGACCATTAACCTTTAACCTGCACATAACGCTATACAAATAATCCAAGCGTTGTCCCAGCTTATTCTTTTTTTTTTCCTTTTTCACAACCGTAGTTAAGATTGGACGAAGATCGAAAAAATAATCAGAATAAGGAAGTAACCTTAGAGACACCTATACAGGTGCATGTATTTTATATATTACTATATATATATATATATATATATATATATATATATATAGGCCTATATAGTTATTTTCTATTATTACCATTTACTAAAATTGGAATCATGCTACCCCCCATACCCGAACGAAATAGGGTGTATGTAGAAATGTATACTTTTACCAGCCCCCCCCCCCTGATGGGTACCTAACTGAAGTTAGGAGAAGTAAAGGCGGGTGGGCATAGTGCTGACCACACTTTCCCTACATATGCTGAGGTCACGGAAAAAAACAAAGATGAAGTCTACTTGGCTTGACCCATAGACCACTAGGTTTCAAAAAGAACGTCACTTTTTACAGACTGACAAAAAAAATGTGTTTTAAAGTGCTTAAACTCTCGTTGTATTTTTTTTTTCATTTTCCACACTCTGGTAAAACAGTTGTATATATTTTTTTATGTAAGGTACATGCTCCCGCACTTAGCTACACATAATGTGCTCTCCTATTCTCCTAATGACCCTCCCCACTTCACGGAAACATAAAAGCACACTTGGTTTTCTGGCGTCGACCCCGATGTTCCTCATACTCACACAGAGAGAGAGAGACACCGTACATCACAGAGAGACACACGGTGAGGTCGTGTCTGCGTGGTCCGTCCCGGGGGGTGAAGAATGGGGGGGGTGGGGGGGGGTGGGGTTCCACTCTAGAAGTTGGAGTGCCGTGGTAAATCTGCGAGTGTCAGGAGAACCCACACGAGCTCTCAGACAGAGGGGGGGGGGGCGACAGTCCTTCAGGGTGGCAGGGCTGGCAGCAGTTAGGAGATCCCGGGGGTGGGGTGTCTCCCACACAGCGAGCCTGTAACATAGTCCTTCACAGTGGCAGGAGTGGCAACAGTCATAACATTCCGGGGGTCGGGGTAAGGGGTGGAGGTGTGTCCCCCACACGCAACCTCCAACATAGTTAGTCATTCACAGTGGAAGGACCGACGACAGTCAAAAGATGGTGTGGGGGTGGGGGATGTTGGGGTGGAGGTATGTCTTCTACACAAACAGGCCTTCACTTAGGTCGTCCTTCTTATGACTGTCCATCATACAAAAAGGTCATCTTACACAAACAGCCCCTCACACGAAATGTCCTCTTACACAAACAGCCCCTCACACGAAATGTCCTCTTACACAAACAGCCCCTCACACGAAATGTCCTCTTACACAAACAGCCCCTCACACGAAATGACCTCTATAACGTGCACTCTCCAAACACATTGTTTATTACCCCCCCCCCTCACCCCCACCACTCCAAAACAACAACAACAAACAAACATGAAAAAAAAACCTTCTGATTTATTAAAAACAATAATTGTCAGCCCATTATACGGACAACATCAAAATTTCTGAAATAACCCCTCCTAACTTTATTCCATTCACAAAATCACAAAAAATCGCAAACCCTATCCTCTCCCACCACTTAAAAGCCATATTATTTATGGTAACCACCCAATCACACACAAAAAAAACGGCTTTAATTTATTTCTGTCATTAAAAAAATTGAAAACAAAAATCTCGCGGTTAACTTGTACTAAATTATTAAATCGCTCTTTTCTTCCACAGATAAGCGCAGAAACAAAGTAGTGCCACAAAACTGCCATTTCGTTTGCATTAAAGAAACATTGCATCGTTTTGAACGCAATGCATTTTGGCTTGGCTAAACAAATAAATCTGGCCACCATTATCTAAGGTCAGCGTGTTCCGCCTTCTGCTGAAGAGTTACTCTAAAACAAACTGCCAGGTTGACCAAATGATGAATTATTGCTCAAACGTTTCTGTTCGTTTTTTTTGTTTTCCCTATTCATAATGGATTACACTCGATTCGAAGATAACAATGGCGATCAATCTAATAGCCGTACACAATGCACCCACCGTCCATGCCGGTGAACAATTTTTTTTTAACTCATTGTGGTTGGGAGTTACGGTCCTTGTCAATAATTAGCTACAACCGCAAATGTGAATAGCTGACATTGCCGATAAGGATATGTTAATTACAAAAATACCCCAATATTTTTATTCCATTGAGCACTTACACTTTTTTTTTTAACCAATAGCCCAAACAACAAATATTGTAAATATAATTGTTTCGCAACAATATCAACCTATTATAATGACTCGGCGATTTAATATGACGTTGCGTCACTAGGCGGCGGTGGGGGTGCAAAATGCACCGAGTGACACCATTCATACGGGTGACACCAAAACGAAAATACAAAGTTTTAATGAGAAAGTCTGCTTTTTCCAATCAGTTTACTGGCTTATAATACAGGATGACACCATTCTAAAGGGTGACACCAAAACAAAAATACAAAATTTTAAGGTCTACTTTTTCCCCATTAGTTATAAACTTATAAAACTTAAGATACATCATTAGTGACATCCGGTAGAGGGTGACACCATCGATGATGGGGGTAACACTGAACTGTCTTTAGTTTTGGCATATATAAAATATGCTGAGGGGGGGGGGGGGGTGACATCCTCGGTAACCGAACCCGGTGTCACTAGTCATAAGACGCTACCGTATAGACACAGTGATGAAATTGCGATGGCCCGCCATGACGGTGTTCTTTAAAATTTGAAATGAATTTTTAAAAACTGTAATAACTGTTAAGAACAAAAAAGTAAACTTTTATTTAATGTTGTAACCAATTGGCTAAAAAAAAATCACCAGCTAGTAAAAATAAAAAGATCAGCTAAGTTTGTTTAGGTCTATCTAATTATCTTTTAACTTGGGTCGATTTTTATTCAGTGCTGTTCCCTAAATGGTTTAAATTTTTTAAAATGTAAAAATAGTGTCGATGTCTGCTGAAATCAACAAGATACATTTGATTCTACCGGAAAGTAATGTGCTGTTCATTTTCTAAATTCCTCTGTGCTGTGGGCTCACCGGACGTCTACGATTTTTTCCTGGTTATTAGAGGGTTAATTAAAGAATCTAAGGCATGGATTTTTGTTAGAGCTTTATTCGTGGCAACAGCAATTCTGATAATAAGTATAGAATTGACAATTGAAATTCTATTTCAGTAAAGGAGCACAATTATCTACTGCGGTTTGTTGTGGGTGTACA